CTAAGGCGGTTCGTTGTTGAAAATTTATAACTGACTTCCACGGGTGTTAGCAGAGGCTCATCCGCAAATGAACCAGAAAAATATTGAGTGCTTCGACTGAAATTTCGTACAGCGCCCGTTTCATCAGTCCTGCCAAGGTGACATGACTCGCATCACCTTTTCAGCTTGGGTCAACAACCAACTTCTAGAACACGACTCCCCATGCCAAAAGTGCCCAGAAAGTTCCCAGGTCTACTGCATCCAGCGTATAAGCACAAGACGCCACATCACCAAATTCTATTTTGAGGATAGAAGAGGATTACCTTTGGCATCACAACTCTATTGACTTGCGGTGGTTAGTGAATCATCAACAAAATGCTCTATAAAGTTCGGTCACGATTCATTGATTGTCAGGTATTTCCGGAAAACTACCATAGAGCCTATTTGAAACGCGAAAGAGTGCCGGGAAAGATACAACCTCAGGAAGTCTTTGAACCTAAATCGCCTGATGGAAACGGCCGTCCTAATGTAAGAACTACCAAATTATTCAAGACATTCCAAAGGAACTCTTCAAGTGGTTAGAGGCTGACAAAAATAACGCAAACGAATATGGTCGCAATCCAAAATGAATTAAATGCACCACTGCAAAGACAAAAGTCAGCACTATTAAGCATGAAATATTATAACCGGTAATGACAAATGGTGAAAACCGGATCGGGTTGTGATGTCAGACAGATAATCAGTGAACTAGCATTCCCTTTGCGACATCATCTGCCGTTTTCTTGTTAGTAAGGAGTTCCAGAAGTTTCAACGCAAACTGCATTGCAGTGCCCGGTCCACGACTAGTAACCAGGTTTCCGTCGACCACAACTTGATCCGTGCAGTACGTAAATCCCCGAAGCTTATCTTCAAAACCAGGGTAGGAAGTCAGTTTCTTTCCGAGGCCAATACCGTGGGATTGCAGGCCGATGGGAGCAGCGCAAATGGCAGCAACAATCTTCTTATTTTCGTAGTGGTTCTCAAGAATCTTTTTAACAATGGGAGACTCGGCCATTGCTTTCGAACCTCCAAGGCCACCAGGCATCACAACAACATCGAACAATTGTGATGAAACGTCAGTTAATGCAACATTTGGTTGTATTTTTACACCCCGGCTGCATTCCAGAACTTGGGATCCCTGAAGGCCACCGATTGTTACCTTCACCTGACCACGTGCGAGCACATCAGCAACAGTTACAGCTTCCAGCTCCTCTGTGCCTTCCGAAAGAATCAAAAGCGCAGACATGTTGGAACTTGAGCTGAAAAAAACGATTAGCAAGCGACTTCATAACTACCAAAACGCGTGCGGCGTACCCAAAGCAAACGACGAAAAACCCCAAGGACGCAGGGTTAAACGAGAAACCGCAAATATTCTGCAGGCTAACATACTCTAATTGATCTGTTTAAAGAACCGGGTTGGAGATTCAATGTCCAATGTCCAGTTTACAGGCGGAGAAAGCTCGTTGGCTTGTAGTATTCCCTGTTTCTTGATCTATACGGTAAAGTCTGATGTTCGGAAATTTCTGTTTTTAATTCGTTTGTTCTTGTAATCTGAAAGTGTAAGCAAAAAGAAAAGGAAAGAAACGGGTTAGTAGGGTGCTTCTTGTCGGTGTAGCAGGTTAGTTACCTGTTGTCAGTTATTTGAACCGAATTGCGTGCCTTACGAGGTGTACTGCGTGGACAGTCCAGAGGTCCACCTGAGATTACTTCGAGGGTACTCAAAGTTGCGGTCCACTGCCGAGGTTGTAGTGACTCCGTTTCGTCACTCGTGTTTTAAGTCACGCTTCTTTTTGTTTTACTGAACGTTGACGCGCGTTAGACCCACACACTTCCACCTTGGTCTTTCAACGCACCGTGCGACGCCACTGTTTCACATTCAAATACAGTGCCTTTCGTCCAGGTCTCCTAGTCTGCCTTCTGTTTTGCATACCTTGGCTGTTGAGATCACTGTGTCGTATTGGTTTAACGTTACGACTCGTGGGGAGTGTCCGGGGGTCCGTAATACCGTCTCCTAACCAGGGCCACGCGTGGACGGAGCCAGTGCGCCTTTACAAGGTGACGTCCATGGCGAATTTATTTAGTTTTTACTTGAAGTACGCTGTCGTAGGCGCAGAGACCACTTCCTAGGGTAATGAGTTACAAGCGGATGTGGCTCGGATGGAGAAGTGCAGCCGTCTGCTGTTAGTGCTACTCTGCTGATGCAAGATGGTCTTA